TGGATTTCCAAGTACAAGGGTGTTATGGGCAGAACCGTCGTTGCCTCTGTCCCAGCCAGGCACAGAGCTTCACCAATGGTCACCTCCACCTGCCTGCTGCATTTCCCAGTGGGAGGTTAATGTGGGTGCTTCACTTCCCAATAGCAAGGTCACAGTGCCCCAGGTTCCTCATATGGGATGCAGCCACATCGCTGTGAGCAGCTCAGCACTCCTGAGTCAAGCCTTCACCTATCTGTAAAGCCATGCTCTGCCAGGACAGTCTGCAACAGCACTACCTCCTCACCTGCTGTGTGCCTCACAGGGCAGCTCTCCTGCGTGGGGCACCACTCATTTCTACAGGACAGGCAGCACAGTGCACACAAGCCCTACAAAAGCTCATTGGGGCTGAAACTCTTCTCATTCAGGTCTACCATGAATGGCAAGGAGAACTACAGAACAACCTAAGCAAGCAAAAACCCTTGTCCCAACCAGCACTGGGGCTACAGACTTCTAATGTGAGGCTGCCGCTCCCTTCTGTATTTTAAGTTAACATCCTGCTCACCAATGAAGCACAGCCACTTTACTATTATTTTAGGACTGAAAGGACTGTAATTTCTCTAGAAGAAGCAGTGATCCCTTTTGCTTACAAGGTCCTGCTAAAGTCGAGAACATCACAGTGCCCTGTATGCTGGGAAGCATCGTAGACAGACCATGTGTCTTCCTGTAGAGGACTGCTGTAGTCACATCAGAGCAAGTTCCACACCCTGCAATCACAGAATGGCCAGGGTTGGAAGGGACCTCAAGGATCATGAAGCTCCAACCCCCTGCCACACGCAGGGCCACCAACCTCCATATTTAACACCAGACCAGGCTGCCCAGGGCCCCATCCAACCTGGCCTTGAACACCTCCAGGGATGGACAGGGCATCCACAGTCAAATGCAAAACCCAGTTGGCATTCCAGCAGCAGGGAGATTCCCCTGACCAGCAAGTGCTGCTGGAGGGGAACCAGCTGGAGAGGGGCACGCAGGTGGCTGAAGGGCTGGGAGGGCTTGGCAAGGAGACCAGAGGGAAACAAGCATGAAGCTCGGGAACACAGCTCTGAATGCATTCTGCCAGCCAGAAACAAGCAGGCAGTGAGCTGAACAGTCTGAGGAACTAAAGGAGGTTTAAACCAAATCAGCACTTTGCATGAGCTGCAAATTGCAGTTGTAAACTGCACTGGGAGCCCTTACACAGGCTTTAGCTGAGGTTTCATCAGGTACTAGAGTGCAGCATTTAATGTAATGGGATACAAAAAGCAATTAAAACAAGCTGGGTGGCTGCAGACATACCAGGTGCTCTCTCTGACAGAGCATGAAGCAGAAAAGGAACACAGGACGGATGTATTGCAGCCAAACACGGTTACCAAAACGCACCTGGCAGAACTACAGGCTTTTTGCTTACATTTGTGTGCAACTTGTTAAAGTTTTTTTAAAAAGAGTAATTAGCACCATTTTCCAGAGCCAGGTGTTTTAGCACTCAACTCATTAATCTCAGAGCAAGACAAAGGACTCTGCCTTGCACTTGGCTTCCATCAGTGCTCACCTTGGCACTGGGGCTGCAGGCAAGCACCTGGAAGGGGAGGATGCATTTTAATGCAGCCTGTGACTGAATGCAGGGGCACAGCAGGCTGCAGTGTGACAAGGGCTGGATAGGGTTTGCTACAGGGCTGCTGCTACCTTTATGTCAGCATCTTGGGATTTCTGAAAACAAAACCAGGTTTGCAGTCAGGTCCTTCCAGACAGGATCATGAGGCTCTGCAGCCTCCACCCACACCCAGGTCTGAGGGCACAGCTTTCTTTTCCTTGAATTCCAGACAACCACAGTAACTCAAACCACTTAAACACCTACAAAAAGGCCTCCATGCCATCATGCAGCCACGCTTCTATTTTTTAATTCACAACCAGCTGGCCCCTCGCTGCGAGACCCAGACTGCAGCACAGCGCCTGCTGGCCACCAGCAGGCAGCACCACCCCCTCCTCCCGGCCTCAGCTCCAGCACTGCTGTGGACAAGAGCAGAAAACTGGTTTTATTTCTCTTTTAAGGATTAGCTTTTGCCTGAAGCAGCACCCAACCCAACCCACGCAGTGCCCAACTAATGCCAACATCAGCACAAAGGAGCCCCGGCCCTCTGGGGCAGCCTTTGGGGACAGCACATGGAGGAGGGTGGCAAAGAGTTTGTGTTCCTGCTAACCACTCACCTGGCAGCACCAAGACCTGCCCAAAGACAGAGGTGGGCAGAAAACCTGGACTTCTGGCTTCAGCTTACACCCAGCTTGTGTATTTGCTTTCCTATTTCTGGTGTGGGATGGGAAACAGGAGTGTCCTCTTTCCAGGAAAAGCCTGAATTACACAGCAGGAATTTAACTGAGCTCTTGAATCCGTTTTGCACTCAGTCACCAGTGCCAAAAAAAACAAAAAAAATCCCAACAAAACAGCAATTTGTTCTTTTACTGTGATGGAAATAAACTTTCATCTTAGAGTAAAAGAAAACAACAGAAATCAGAGCAGATAGGAAATCCATCAGGCATCCATCTCCTGCTGCTGAACATTCCAGATTCTGAAGTGTTACACCAAAGAGACCAGAGATCCAGACCTAAGCCACTGCTTTCACTTATAGGTGCCGTTTCCCTGGCAGCCCGGTTTTGTGAGCTTGCCCTGTAGGTGCCAGCCACAAGGAAAGGAGTAAAACGGGAAAAGCAGTGATTAAGATAACCCTGAGCTATCCTGAAACCAAACACGGAGTGCCAGAACTTCACATCCCTCAGACAGAGTCAGCAGTTTGCTTTGTTCTGGGAAGTCAGAGTGCCTGACCCGACCACTGTGCTCACAGCTGCACTTCCTGTGTTCACGCAGGACTTACTTCCAGCACAGATTTACATCTTGTAAGAGACCCAAACCAAGCCATGCTACTGCTGGTGATTCAATTCACTGCATGAATTAGGTCCTTCACTCATAAGCAACAGCAAAAGTACTGAAAAGCATGTGAAGAAAATAAGGTAAACACCCAAACTCACACAGTTTCCAAAAGAACAGATTGACTGTTTACAGGAGATAAAGCACAAGCACAGCCCAGCTCCTTCCCAAACAGCACAGCATTCACTAGCACCATCCTCCTGGCCCACAGAGATGACATGAGCACACTGGAGCTGTAAGCTCTGCTCTCCACAGCTTGCTGCTGAAAGGCTGAGCTGCCCAGCGCTGCCTTCTCCACTCCCAGGAGCTGCTGGGTACTGTGGCCTAATGACAACTAGCAGAGTGAAGGCAAAAACTGCTGCCTGTTAAAAAACCAATCCTGAAGCCCTTACGGACTGCTCAGCAAGTGCTGAGCTGCCACAACTACACAGCCAGATAAAAACAGTCCAATACAAAGCGAAAGCCCACCGTGCCAAGGGACAGGGCACACTCAGGGTGCTCACACCAGTTAGTTACTCACTTGAACTTCAGAATTTCCTAAGCAGCTGTCTGGCCGCACAGCCTGTGTATCATAAATGCAGATGACAAAAAGAACATGCAGAAGTTCATAAGCTGTTAAAACCCACACGTGCTTGGTGCATGGGCAACAACCAGAAGTAAGAGAACGTATGAAGTTTCAGAACTGCAATTTCTAAAAGTTGAACCAATGGATTCATTAATAAGTTAGCTTTCAAGTGGTTTTGCTTAGTATATTTCAACTATATCAGAACATCTCAATTAAAAAGACAGATTTCACACCCAAAAAAAAACAGGTTTTTTTTTTATTACTTTCCCCCTCATTTATAACTTTGTTGTTAAACAACCAAATGACAATTTCTGTCAGAGAGGGACAAGCCTACATAAGTATATAAAAAAATAAACACAGCACCATAACATGTGCTATTCTGTTGATGAACAACACCCTGCTGCTCCAGCAGATACCAGCTGCCCTTCCCAGCAGCCCAAGCATAAAGTTGCCCAGAAAGCCTCTTAAAAAAAAAAAAATAAAATAAAATAAAATGGATTTTACTTTCCACCAGACCACCACCCCCAGCCCTTCTCAATTTCATAGCTCCTTAATTACTCATCAGGATCCTGTTCCACTCGAGACCTCGATTCACCTGACCCAAAATCCTGCACTCAATGGGCAGCTTGTCTTCCCGTGCCTCCAGCACAAAACAGGGCACAAGCAGAGCCGTGGGGACAGATAACCTACAGTGCTACAGGGTGAGGACCTCAGCAAGCAACGAGACATAGCGAAAAGACGAGTTACATGGGATCACTGAAAGAGGATACAGAAACTGTAGATGACTACAAAGGATGCATGTTTTAGGTCTTCTTTCCAGCTCACTACCAAACTAACACCACAAGAAACTCTGTCTTATTACATCCGTTGCAATACATTACAATTGGATGGAGAAACTGGCAGAGGAGTTCACAGAACTCCTCAGAAGGACCAACCCTGGGAGCAGAGGGGCCAGATACAGCCCTGCTCCACTGTGCCACCACCGAGAAGCCCTGGAGCTGCAGAGGAGGCTCAACCGCCGGCCGAACAACAGGAAGGAGCTCCAGGAAGAACCTGTTAGGTGGCCCGGCTGGAGGTTCGGCCACGCACTGACCCAGCCCTGCTGCATCACATCGCTGTTGCCTTCCGTCCTCCTGCTCTGACACCGCCCAGAAGGACAACGCCAACACCGCAACCCCAACCAGCCTCCCGGAACGCGGTGCGTTCACCACGGCCGTGCAACAGGCGAGTAGCGGCGCGGGCAAACATACGGACTCACAGAACTATTAAGGCTGGAAAATGATCACCGAGCCAAACGCCTTCCAATCCACCGACCCTCACTGCCAAATCCCCACGGTTCTCAACACCTCCGCGGACGGTGGCTGCCCCACCCCAGGCAACCGCGCCACCGCATCGCTGCTCCTTCCGAGAAGTTCTCCCTCCCTCCCAGCACGGCCGTCCCGCGGCTCAACGCAGGACGAGAGCTGAGGCTCCGCCCGGAGCCCCGCACCCCGCCCTCACCGCGCTTGTTCTTGGTGCCGTGTTTGCGTGCCGCCGCCAGCTCCTGCTCGATCTTCTTCTCCAGGAACTCCTGCTTCTTGCTCAGCATCTCCTCCGTATCCCGCAGCCGCTGGATGGCCTCCTGAGGAGACGGGCCCTTTCCCGCGCCCTTCCCGCCGGCGCCGGCCCCGAACAGCTTCCCCAGGAGCCCCGACATGGCTGCGCCTTGCCGGGCCGCGCTACGAGGCGATGGCGGCTGCGGAGCGCTTGCGGCGCTCCCCTCGCTTCGTTCCCGTCGCTGCGTGCCCCTCGGGCGGCCCGGCCCTCTGTCCGCCCGCCGGTCCTAAGAGCCACACGACGCCCGGACCGCTCCGCTGCCACCGGCCGCTCGCTCCGGCCCGCACCCCGCCCTGGCTCTCCGCCCCACCGCGGCCGACCCCGTGACGCATACACCTCCCGGCGTACCCCGCAGCTCAGCGTCGCTCCGCCAAGCGGCGGCCGCGCGAAAAGCATGCTGGGAAATGTAGTGCGGGGCGCGGAGCACGGCGGGAAAGGCGGGGAGCAGCGGGCGGCCGGGCGGAACCCGGAAGTGGCATCATATAGCGAGTGACGTTGGCGCGCGGTGACGTCAGCGGATGGGCGGTCGCCATGGCGACCTAGAAGGAGCAGGAGGTGGGCCGGGTGGAGGCCGCGGGCGGCTGCCCCGTTCTGGAGAGATGGAGCCGGGCGTAACCGCGGCTGAGGCAGCCTTGGAAACACAGAAAAGAACCCTGGAGTCGGGCACTTTAAGACCCCGTGGTGCAACCCCCCCTCCTCAACAGAGACGCCCACAGCTCCATCAGTGCTCAGAACCCCCCATTCTGACCTTGGGTGTCTGCAGGCATGGGGCACCACTACCCCTCTGGGCAGCCTGTGCCAGTGCCTCACTGCACTCCTAGAAACTTCCCTATATCCAATATCTCCTTTTTAGTTTTAAGCCATTTCCTCTTCTCCCATCATGACAGACCCTGCTCAAGAGCCTGTTCCCTTCTTTCTTACAGCCCCTTTAGACACTGACAGGCCACTCTCAGCTCTCCCTGGAGTCTTCTCTAAGCCGCACAGCCCCAGCTCTCTCAGCCTGTGCTCATATGGTTGGTGTTCCATTCTTCAGATCATTTTTGTGCCCATCTCCCTGGTTTGCACCCCCGCAGGTTTAGGGGCCGGATGACACAGCTAACTGCCATGCAGTGAGCACAGCACTGCCTCCTGCACAGTCTGCAGGACAGGAGCAGTTCAATGAGAAAATCCATCTGCAGGAGTTCACCAACAATGCCTTCTAGCAGATCCTGCTTCACTCTAGCTTGTTAGCTTTGTCATGGCAAACACGGAAGAAAGACAAAGAAATATAGAGAAGAAAAATCCAAGGTTTACAGAAATCACTCCCAGGGTAGGAAGTCCCTCAGAGGGAGATATCAGAATGTCAGAGTGCAGACACAGCCTTCTACCCATCTTTATGACTCTACGATCTGCTGCCAGAGGTGAATGCTGAGCGCCAGAGACATTTGTTCTGATCCAGCATCAGCTCCAGATCTTCCAGAGCAGGCAGGCAGCCTGCCTGGAAACCTCCAGAAAATGCTAAGAGGCTTCTGGCAGCAGATTTGTGCCCCCAGCAGAGCCAACCCTGTGGAGAAGTATCCGGCTGTCAGTGCTCAGAGCACACAGACGTACAGCCCAGCAGCTCTGCTCCTCCTCAGCACACGCTGCAGAAGCAGAGATGCAGTTCCTGGGTGAAATTCTTCCAGTTTGGCCCACAGGAAATAGAACAGCATGTGCACATCCTAACTGACCAAAGCTTCAGTGAAGCTCATAAAGATGGACGGAACAGCAAGAAACAGAGTTTCCAGAGCTCCTGGCATGCGGTGAGGAGCCTCCTTCCAGGCACAGCTGTTTTGCACACACAGAACAGAACTGCACACCACTCTCAATGTCTCAACGACAGCATCTACTTTTTCCTGATTCAGTTCTCTTTCCCACAAGATTTTCCTATGTCAAAATTGAATCTTTTTTTTTCTTCTTGATGTTCTTTTAAATAACTGCTTCTTTATTTTTTTCTGCTTTTCAAACAAAGGGCAGGGCCCAGAAAGGAACGGCCATTCCTCCAGACTGCCCTCCAAGCTGGAGGAGAGCTGCACCACATGTTGTCATCTCAAAATAGACCTGAGTGCAGCATTGCAGCCAGCACCCGGAGCCACATAATGACACCATACACTGTGGGTAAAGAGAGCAGCAAAATAGGAACAGCATATTTAGCAATCTGTTTCCTCTCCTGCAAGAACTGTATTTAAAACATTATGGGCAAATAACCTCTGCCCTTTTCAACAGAAGAAAGATGTCCCAGATGCACAGAAGCACTTGCCCTAACTCCCAATCATGCCCACTCAGAGCAGGATGCTCAGGGCCTTGCTGAGCTTTGAGTACAACCCAGTACTGACACCCCACTGCCTCTCCACAACCTTTTTCCAGTGAACCTGACCACCCTCTTGGATGAAATCCCTCTACACTGAGTCAGAATTTCCAGCACATCTCTGTAGCTTCCTGCCCTGCTGCTGTGCACCCCTGAAGAGTGCAGCTCCATCTCCTCTACACTCTCCTGCAAACCTCAATTTTCAGAGTCTTTGCAAAGAAACAGGAGGAGTGCCTGGAGCTCAGGCAGGCAGCAGCCAGGCACCATGGTGAGACCAGTCAGACCAGTGACACTGGGTTGACTGCTCTGGTGGCCAAAAATCCATTTGGAAGCAGCAGCTGAGGCAGGGACTTCACAGCCAGGCTGTCAGCTCCCAGTGAATTCATGCTCTGCCCCACATCACCCCCAGGCTGGAAATGCAGTGTTTTCACACCTATAAAGTAGCAGTTAATCACAAAAAATTTACCAAGGGAAGCTCAGCTTACCCATACACAGAGAAAGAAAAAAACAAACAAACAAAAGAACAACAGTGGAGAGCAGAGTATGGAGACAGCGTGTCCCAGGTGGACCTGGAAGCAGCAGGGATATTCTCCAGAGTCCAGCTGCCTTCTTCAACAAGCAGGACCATGGGATGGCAGCACAAAACTGAAGGCAACGTGGTTTGTGAACAAAGAGGGACCCATAAGGCCAGAGCAGAAGGCAGCAGCACACTTGACTTCTCTCCTACCTACTTTGGGCCCCGCATCTGCCCACACAGCTCCTCTCCCAACATTACACAATGGTAATTTTCAGTTCCCTCTCATTAGGTGCCCTGGTTTGGTGCTGCCCTATCAGCTTTGAATCTCCTACTTGGGAAATCAAGACAGGAGAATCCAACTGGATGACAGAAGACACTCTACTAGCAGGATTTCCTTGCTCCCGGATCACAATGACTTCCCACCTGTCAACGATCAACTGAAATTATTAACTGACACATAAAACTGAGCTAAGGGCACATACAGACTGGGAAGCAACAGGAGAAGTGCACAGAAGTATCCTGCAGCACTTAGCCCAGAGCAGATGCTAGAAAACTGGGCCATAGATGTATCATAGGTTTCCTGTGTGACCCTGGGCAGGAGACCTCACTCAGGCCTAAGTTTCTCTCATTGTACATAGGTGTCACATTTAACTGTTAAAAGGACTGACCCACTGATACCCAAGGCACTTGGAGATTCTTAGATATGGAGAAAAATGTGAGAAGAACACCATGAAAGAAACATCAAGCAGAAAGGAGCTAACACACGTGTGCACACCCAGCTGCTCCCACCCACTGACTCCACACAGTTTACAACACATGTAGTATAGACAAGGTGTTCTTTTTACTGATAAGAGCAGAGAAAGATACCAGAAAAGTCTATCAGAGTATTTCTGAAAAGTGTTCCCAAAGGATCTCACAACGAACTTGCTTCCACTAGGAAGAATCATTTGTTTGCTCTCGAAAAGGGCACCCAAATACTGGGCAATACAGCTTTTAGGCCAGAAAAACCACAGATGGGACGGGCTGTGATTTGCAAAGCCACCTGATTTCAGCAGCTCTGTTTGTTGCAAGTTTATATGCTCCTCCTTCTCACCCTGATTCAGGGATCTTAGTCTTTCTTGCCCTTAACTGACCAGCGATGCAGAGGGACAAGAAAAAAATGGAGCCATTCTCTTCAGTGCCTTGTAGCCATCAGTGGCTTCCAAAAAGTCCTTCGCCCATGGATGGGAAGATCAATTGGAAATGAAAGCCATTCTCTCCCAAATCCATCTACTCCCCACAAGAGCTTTGGTCTTTTTCACCAGGATAAATTTCAGCACCAAGTCTGACGATCCCAGCAGCAGCCCCAAGCCACACAGTGGCTCTACACACGGTCACTCAGTCTGGATGTAAACGGGGACAGCCAGCATGGTGCAGGGGCCATCCGAGGCAGCCTGCAGTTCTGCCAAGGACAAATTGGATGCAATACTGCTGGGCTGCCCAGGAACGACAAGGTCCGAGTCGGCAGCTCCTGACCCACCAACCACAATGGACAGGACAGCGTCTGACTCCTGGAATGGCTCTTTGTTAGGGACGTCTTCCTGGGGGCTTTCCCCAGCAGCGCCGTCCTTCAGCTCTCCCAGAGGCAGCTGGTTGGGAAGGGAAAGGCCCGCCTTGCGTCCCTGCACCACCCGTCTCTTCTGGGGCTTCCTGAGCTGCAGGTCTTTGTCCTTGGGGGAGCCCAGGCGGCACTTGTGGTCCTTCATGTACTTGTGGCGTGTGAAGCCTTTGCTGCAGGTGGGGCAGCGGTATTTGTAGTTGCCGGTGTGCGAGCGCTGATGCTCCATCATGTGGGCTCGTCGGCTGAAGGACTTGTTACAGTACTGGCACTTGTGGATCTTCATCCCTGCACACAGCATGGGAGGAGAAAGCTCAGTTAGAGAGTGCAGGAAAACCTACACTGCAAAGGGAAAGCGTGATAGCTTTACCTCCTCCTCCACACAGGCGTTCTCTGATATAAGTTTGAAACAGCCACCTTCTCACTCAACAACCCCATTCTTTTCAGCTTGCTTATTAGAACAACCAAAGGAGTTGTCTAACAGACATCGTGCCAGGCAAATTTGCTATCAGAGAAGGATGAACTGCTACACCTCAAACATCGTTGCTCGGAATGTTTACAATAACGGTTCTTGCCTCAAATGAGAGGTTTAAAATATCACTAGGAAAAAAAAATGTGTCAGGTGGTCGTGATGAAAACACAGAACAGCCTTACACTCCCATTTTTTTTCTCCTA